TCTGTAGATGGAACCAGGTAGAAGCAAGTATTTATTAGACCCATGGTTGTTGAAGCATAGGATCCTGCTGCCACCCAAACATCTAGGGAGAGGACAGAGAAACAGGATCCTGGCTGACACTATTGTCTTTTTGTCCTTGTGTGAAAGCCTACTTGCTAGGCCTCAGTTTCCCTATATGTTCAATCAGGGTAGGCCTCATGTGAGGCCCACACCCCACTTAGTGCTTGATTCTAGGGTTCCTGTCCCATCAGAGCAGAGGGTCCCTTCTGAGAGAAGTCATGGAGAGAGCTTGGGGTAAAGCGAGAGAATCTCCTTCTCTAGTTCCTGGGGCTGGAAGCCAGCTGTGCCCAAGCCCACCTCCCAGCAGACTGAGCAGTAATACCTGGGTGGCAAGCGGTGACCTCCAGGAAAACACCCCATTCCTCCTCCCAGGCACGGCTGTTTTGGAACAATGATGGAGACAGAACTGGTTTTCCCCAGGCCTTGGGCTGCCTCAAACACCCCTTTCCCTTCTCCAATGCATTCACGTACACACACAATCTTATGCATAGCCTCGCGCTATGCACAGCCTAGGGTCAGCAATGTTCCCGACTGCCCTAAGCTACTGCCTACAGCATGCTCCTATTTACCCCATGGATACAAAATGAGGCTGTAGCTCGCAGAGCAAGCTCAAAGCAAAGAGCCCTCACCGGAAATTGACCTCAAAGCCCGCCCCCCGGTGACGTACTTCCTCCATCGAGGCCACACCTCTTAAACCTATGCAAACAGCGCCACCAACTGGTGACCAAGTACTCAAACAGCTGAGTCGATGGGGGAATATTTTCATTGGAACCACCCTAAACCATGCTGCTCACAGAGCTTATCTGAGGATGCACAGGATGGAGATGACTTTCAGGCTTCCTACAGTACACGGGCAACGAACTTGAAAGCAACACAGCCGTGGTAGTATGCGATGCGCCTGAAGAGATCACGGCATGGAAGCCTCTGCTGCTGGGCTGCCAGGGTGCTAGGGTCTGAAGTGTGCATGTGGGCACTTAAGAGGAGAGGCGCCGGGAAGAGCAAGTGCTGTGGGCAAGAGGGTTGGCGAGCAAAGACCCCCCCCCAGCTGGGACCATTGCATGCCAGAGAGATGAATGAGTGAAGGCAGGGTCACAAGCGTGGCCAGTGGGAGGCATGGCAAACACAGAGGTGGGCACTGTGGGGCATTCGCCCAAGACTCTGGATGAGATCAAGAGCCAGGGGAGGTCATTTCATCCCGACAGCCATCCTTACTTCTGCCTAGGATCGCATCACACAGCACCAGCTTCTTCATGGCATCTACCCTGAGGAATTGTCACACTTATCCCCCAATTGTGGTGGCACCATCGACACTTCCCAGAGAAGGTGTATTGTTAAGTCCCCAGGACCTGGGTAGAGCCTGGCCCACAGCAGGTGCTCAGTGAATGTGAAAAGAAAAAGATGGGCAGATTCCTGAGGGAGTGTCCTCCCTATGGTGGCTATTCTTGATTCTTGATTGTCAACTTGACTAGTCTGGAACTAACCGAAGAATCCAAGTCACTGGGCACACCTGGGAGGGATGTTGATTTGAGGTAAGAAGACCCACCGTAAATCCAGATTATTTGAAATCGGAAGATCCTCCCTAAACCTGGGCCACACCCTCTCATCCCAGCCTATATTAAGGACATAGAAGAAAGCAGCTTTTGCTCTCTGCCTGTTTGTCCTCATGCTCACTGGCAAGTTCATATACCCTGTTGCTGAGCATTCCTTCACTTTGAGATTCTGGTATATACTGAAGACCATCTGAGACATCCAGCCTCCAGGGCTGAACAAATATTGGACTCTTGGACTGACTTGCCATTGAGAGACAGCCATTGTTGGACTAGCTGGACCACATCCTGTGAACCTCTCTAATAAATCCCAGATAGATAGATAGATAGATAGATAGATAGATAGATAGATAGACAGACAGATAGATAGATAATAAATGATAGATGGATGATAGGTAGGTAGGTAGATGATAGATAGATGATAGGGAGGTAGATGATAGATGATAGATGGATGATAGGGAGGTAGGTAGATAATGGATGATAGGGAGGTAGGTAGATGATAGATTCTTTCCATCACTTCTGTTCCTCTAGAGAACCCTGACTAATACACACTCACACTGAATCCTACTTCTACTCTTTCTCTCCATGTCCCCACACCAGTGTCTACCCCTCCTGTAGAACCAGCTGACAGTTGACTATGGCCATGCTTCTGCACACACATATCAGACTGTCGTCTAAGTAATGGGCATGCGTGCTGCCCAGAGGGCAGACCTCCTTAAAGCAGGCAGTATTAGTGTGCCAAGTACTTCCTTCTTTGAGCCCACTAGCTTGAATTCGGTGGAAAATTCATACCCTGAGGCAACTTGGGAATCAAGCACCCTCCTTTTCCCAGTCAGGCAGTGTCACATACAGATTCAGTAGCAGAAGGGATGTCACCTTTCCTATGCCCTGTCTCCAAGAGAGCTCACACAGAAAAGATACGATGTATGCATCTTACAAACCAAAGATCAGAATAGAATACACATACTGAGGTATACCCCTGGAGATAAAAAGCTGGCACAGCTGACCTCTAGTCTAGCCCTAGAAGCTGAGAACTTTGCCCTGTATCTTCAGGGTCTGTAAATCTCGGTGCTGAGTCAGTGGGTTGGTTCAGCAGTAAGCATTTGTTACTGCTAACCATGAGTTCAATCCCTGGGACCCACAAGGTAGAAGGAGAGAACTGACTTCCATAGGTTGTCTTCTGGTGTTTTGTTTTGTTTTGTTTTGTTTTGTTTTTTGAGACAGGGTTTCTCCATAGCTTTGGAGCTTGTCCTGGCACTCACTCTGTAGACCAGGCTGGCCTCAAACTCACAGGGATCTGCCTGCCTCTGCCTCCCAAGTCCTGGAATCAAAGGCTTGCCACCACCACCAACTGGCCATAGGATGTTCTCTCTCTTTCTCTCTCTCTCTCTCTCTCTTCCTCTCTCTCTCTCTCTCTCTCTCTCTCACACACACACACACAAATAATTAAATGTAATAAAAATATATAAATGTGCTCAGTGCCTATAATCTTTAGGGCTGTCAGACCTCAACATATTATTGAGCGGATATAGTAGCACTAAATTTTCAGTAGTAAAAATATTTTACATACTCTTGATAAAGTGTGACAGTTAAGAAATTCCCTTTGTAAAGTTGAAATGCATGATATTTATAATGTATATGGTAATTGTATACTTAAGCCTTGCAATGGGCATGAGCTATGGCCCAGAGGTTTTGTTTCTGAGAACTAGTCTGATTTTGGAAGACATGTCTCCAGCTCCAATGGCAAGAATATTTGACACGTGGTACCACTGATGATAATACAGGGTGGCAAACAGCCCAAGAGCCCAGCAGGGAGTGATCAAGTAAATCAATCAAGGCATATCTGTGCAATCGGATATTAGGTATCCAAAAAAAATAAAAAATCAAAACATCTGAGTGCTAACTTCTGATGGCATTGAACCCTTCACAGAAGGCCATTGCTCTTCTCTCTCACCATGCTGAAAGTAGTTTCATTCCCATCTCACAGATGAGGAAAACTGAGGGCTAGAAGGACCAATTGCCCACAGCCATATGCAGGCCATCTGAAGGCAACACAGACCTCCTAGCCACTATACTACATGGTTTCAAATGACACCATTTTTAAAAATACACAAAGCAGGATCAGCTCTACAACAAGCAGTTATCAAACCTGACTTGCAGCTGGGTCTTAACTGGGCACTTGCATTCAACCCCCAAAGATGGTGCTGTTTTTCCCCTGGGTATAGACCTCTGAATGGGTAAAATGGCCTGTTTTCCTTACGTTTACGATATAAACCCACGCTGTTGTACATGAAGAAAAGCAAATTTTAATTTTTTTTAAAAGTAACATAAATGGCAACAATCATCTTGCATTCTCTGCTGACCCCAGTGCCCAGCTACCAACCTGGCTTCAAGGCAAACACAATGTGGATGAGGTTTCTGCTTGCTCGCCCAGCACAGCTTCCCCTAGAGGCAACAAGCACTCTCCAAATGAGAAGAGAAAGCACAGCTTCAGCACGTTGACCAGCCAGATAACTGCAGCCTCCCATCCCAGTAGCCCCTCTGGATACTTGCACCCCTGGGAGCCTCCAGGCTAGCTCTTGTCTGGGAACCAAAGGCAGGCCTCCTTGAGGCTAATGTACATGTACCCTGCTCTGGGTCTCTCAAAGCAGCCTTCACCAGAATGCAGGGCTCTGAAGACAGTAGCCCCAGCCCCACTGTGCAGCCAGTATCTAGAGACCCTGCCTACCCAGAGCTTCCTGGCTATAGACGCTTGGCTGGGTGTCTCTCCTCACTATACCTGTGTCTGCAGACCACCATCTGATGCCATATATACAAGGTGAGGTAGCCTCCATCCAGTTACCATGGTCATAGCTGCCTACTCGGCCCTCCTGGCTTTCGAGATTATTATAACGTGAGTGATAAGTACCCTGGGTTCTCCACAGCCTCTGGACAGCCAGCCAGCTGTACACAACCCCAAGCCACAGACACCCTCCTAGGATCTATGTAGTCCCCTCCCCCGTCCCCTCCTCTCCTTCCCCCTCCGCCGCCGCACCCAGTGACCCAGAGATCAAAAGCTTACACAACCTGCGTCAAGTCCCTAAGTACACCTGGCCTTGAGCTGCTGGCCCAACAGAGACCCACACCCCACGGGGCAGGCCTACTGGCGCTCTCGCTTGGCACCTGTTGGAAGACTCTAGGATCTGAGCCAGCCTGGGACTCTCGGTGGCTCGGTACAGTAAACCTGTGTGGCCTGAAAAGTATCCACAGGAAACAAAACCCGCACCCTTCGGCAAGCCCTGCACCCGCCTGACCTCTGCGGGGCAGGGCAGCGGCACCGAGGTCTGGGTGTGCAAGTGCGTGAAGGCGGGCGTAGTGTGGAGCGAGAGGGTAGCGGATGTGAGTGTGTGCGTGTGCGCGCGTGGCTCCGAGTGTGCGCCGCTGTGATCGCGAAGGGTCTGGAGCGGGCGGCAGGGCGGGCTGGGAGATCTCCTCCCCCCACCACATTGAGAAATCTCAGTGAGTCACCGAGTGGTTCTGCATATTAATGAGCTCGCTCTCGGAGAGGGCAGGAGCGAATTTAAAAGAGGCCAGGGTGGGCGGAGGGAGGCTGTGGGGAGATCGCAGCACCCAGCGCCAAGCGCAGCTCAGCAGCGCGACAGACGGCAGGAGCTCCCACCGACGGGCGCAGCTGGAGCAAGCCGGGCAGGGAGGCGTGCTCTACGCCGAGAACCGAGCCGGGCGGCATCCCCCGGCCGCCGCACGCACAGGCCGGCTCCCTCCTCGCGTCCCTGCTCCCCACTGCGCTGCTCCAGCCAGCATGAGGCTCCTGGCGGCCGCCCTGCTCCTGCTGCTCCTGGCTCTGTGCGCCTCGCGCGTGGACGGTGAGTGCCGCCGCGAGGGCCCTCGGTCGCCGTCCTGTCCGCTCCTAGGAAGTCCACCCATCCTGGAACCCGGGAGATGGGGGGTGGGAGTCCCTGGCGGGCACCTTGGGCGGTCGCTGAGCCGAAGTCCCCTCTGGGGACTCAGCAGCCTGGCGGTGCTCTCCCGCAGGGTCCAAGTGTAAGTGTTCCCGGAAGGGGCCCAAGATCCGCTACAGCGACGTGAAGAAGCTGGAAATGAAGCCAAAGTACCCGCACTGCGAGGAGAAGATGGTCATGTGAGTTCCGAGGGGCTTGTCCGTGTCGGGGCACAGCCTGGGGCTGGATCGGGCTCATTCGCCTTTCTCTCTGCCTTTCTTTTATAATTGTCTGGCAAGCCTCGGGACGTTGCTCGACAGTCTGGAAAGGGGGTCTCCGGCTTGCCCCTCTGAGCCTGCCCTTGTTCGGATTCAAACTGGCGGCAGGCTGGGGGTGTACTGTGGGCTGGTGGCTCTGGTGCGCCCACTTGGAACATGTACACCAGATCCATTCGGGACACACGGCCAGCCTGCTGGGCCGGCCGCGCTGTCTTCCTCTTACTCAAGACAGAAGTAACAGAGCCTTGTCTTTAGAGGCAACTCTCCTTTCGGAGCCCCTCTCCAGTCAGGGTTTGGCCACAGGGGTGGACAGTTGGGGAGTCCGGGATCTGGTCCTGAGAATACTGCTGTCTCTTCCTCCAGCATCCGGGCTCCTTGTGGGTCCCTGGGTGTGCACAGTGTTGGAGAAAATGCTCTCCTGGGGTTAATGTGCCATGCCACCACTACAGCTGCTTGGTGGGGATGCTGGCGATGTCTTTAAAACTAGGGCAGAGAGAGAAAGAACACTGAGTTTCCTCGTGCCTCAGCCTTCCCAATTAACCACTTGAAGCCAGCGCGGTCGGTAGTTTCCCCATCAATACACTCTTGGCCAGGAAGGCAGCCCTTGGCAAAACAGCTCCCAAATATTTGCCATGGACCATTGGCCCCTCTTCCCCTCCCCCAGAAACAGGACGCACTTTATTCTCAGTCTGGGCAAGTGCCTTCCACCGGCTGCCCTTGCGGCCCAGAGGCCTTCAGGAAGTGTCTGTGAAGGAAAGGCACACCCCCACCGGGCACCTCGCGACCTCCACCCGCTGAAGCTCGGGAAGTTGGGGAATTCAGAAAGCTGGGCCTGAGCTGACCCGAGCTGAGCTTCCAAATTAACCTCCTTATACCATCCCTTGTCCCTTGTCTGGCAGGGCAGATAAAGGAAAACCACCCTTTTAGGTGTGGGCTGGCTCAGGGTTAAAAGAGACATGGCAGGCGTTACATCACCCCAGAATTTCTAGTTTCAGGGTTCAAAAATGTTAGAGAAGATTTCAAGTTGTCTCTCAGACATCCAGGGGGCCAAAAATAGTACAGGGCGCATCAGCAACTCAGAGAGACAGGACTCTGCCCCAGACAGATAGATGTCTTCTTTCCTTGACTAAACTCTGGTAAGGACTGCAGCCAAGCAAGAGCATCCCAAGGCTTTGCGTAGCCTCAGGAAAACTTGCAGGGGCCTCATGAGACCAGCACTTCTCCTAAGCCTCCCTCCCCACCCTATCCCTGACAGCCTGAAGCCCCCCCCCCCCTTCTATCAGACAAGGGACATGTACTTTTTGCCAAAACAGGTTTTCAGCCACAAAGGCTGAAGGCATGATCTCCAGGTCACCCTGAGACATTTATTGGGAGGGTGTGGATCAGAGGGAGTCTGGATATGGGAAGGTGTGGGACCTTTAAAAAAAGTGTATAATTTATGGGGGGGGTGGCTCACCCCTTACACTAGGCAGGTTTGTCCCAGGAACCAAACACTGCTCCAGGCTTGGTGGCAGGACACTTACCTACTGAGCCATCTTGCCAGCCCAAGTCCAGGGTCTTGAAGAACAATTTGTGTCACATGTCCATGGAGTTCTCATGCAAACAATTGGCACCTCAGAGTTGCCGCTACCCACAATTTCTGGTAGTTATCGGGTCTTGAATCCTGGGTTCTACACCCTGCTGCTGATTTGCATAACTCCAGTATTCCAAGCAGCTCTGAACAGCTCTGGTGGGGTGGGGGTGGCGGGGCTGAAGTCTTTCCTGCTCTCCCTGACCTTCAGAAATGGGGTAGGATGTTCAGTGTGCAGCCTGGCCTATGGAGAAAGGGCTTTTTTACTGGAGTTTGCCACTCAGGGCAATAGCAGCATTGTGGGTATGGAGGAAATACAGGCACTAATTCTACAGGGTGGCAGAGGTGTAGAGGGAGGGCCGCATGCTTGGAGTCTGCAAGGATCCACCTGGCTCCAGTGAAGGGCGATCCAATTACCTGGTATTATCAAGTGTCCATCCCTGTCTTGGACAAGGGTGAGCAGGCCCCTGGAGCAGCATTCTGTCCCCATTCTGCTGGCAAGGCTGTTTTCTGTTGCTGTGTTCACAGCAACATTGTCCTCTTCTAGAATCTGTCCTATAAACCCCACTCTTGACCTTGGGAACCAGGTGGAGAACAACCTGACCTCCTCACCCATCTTGACCCCTCAGGGAGTCAGGGTTCCACTTTCCTTGTTCCAATCAGACCCTCATTCTCAATCATAGTGCATCTTCCTCCTCCCAGAAGTTTCCTGTAACTCCCACTATCCCCCTGGTCACCGTGGCTGACAAAGGTACTTCCAACCACCCAGGCCTGAGTTCGCACATGAAGCTTGTCTTCCTCCTGGCTGCCTAGCCCTTCCTGACTAGGATGCCCACCAGGGGCGGGGCATGTGCACAGGTTATACCTTCTGCTCCTTCAGTCACCCTGTGAGGTAGGTCCTTCTGTTGTGCCTGTTGAGCAGGCAGTCACAGTTGACAATCTCAGTACCAGGTCTCAGTACCAGCTCCCCCGGGGCTTGGAGCTTTGGCTGAGAGAGGGCTGGAGAACGAATATCTTATTTTTCTGCCCCCAAACGAGATAACTGCAGCCTCACACTCAAGCATCAAACTGGGCTACCAGATCAAGAAGGGCCTTGCTCCAGCATCAGCCAATGTCCAGCCCGGGGACAACTGCAGAGGGTCTGGGTGCTTGGTGAAGGGTCAGAGACTATGGTATATGCAGGGCATGCCTCGGCCCCACTGTAGAGTTGCTCAAATCCAAGGATGGTACTTGGCACGAGCACCTTCTAGCAGTGCTTCTGTCTACCTCTGAACCACTGGGAGAACCCCGTAGTCACTGCTCCCCAAGAGAGCCTGTGCCGAATGTGCCGGGGCTCGCAGACTGCTGGGTGCTGTGGCAGGTAGGGCCCCCCAAGGGAAGTGAAACTCACTCCCTCTTTCCATACAGGCTAACCCTGTAGCGGAGGCTGAGGCACAAGGCCGACCTGGGAAACCTGAGGGAGGGGCGGGGCCTCTTGGTGCTCTGGTCCTGCAGACTGTTATTGAGACGTTTGAACCTATACTGGTCCCGCTTTGTTTCAGCATCACCACCAAGAGTATGTCCAGGTACCGGGGCCAGGAGCACTGTCTGCATCCCAAGCTGCAGAGTACCAAACGTTTCATCAAATGGTACAATGCCTGGAATGAGAAGCGCAGGTACACCATCTCTTCTCATCCCCCCCCCGCCCCACCCACCCGCTGCTGGCCCCACCCACCCGCTGCTGGCCCCACCCACCCGCTGCTGGCCCCACCCACCCGCTGCTGGCCCCACCCACCCGCTGCTGGCCCCACCCACCCCCCCACACACCCAGAAGGGCTTGGCTATTGGCTATGGCTTTCAGGACAAGAAGGGACCCACACACCGTGTCATCTACTAGCCTCATCTAAAGTGTGACGCCCACAAAAGTAGACACTAACACTGTTTCCATCCCCCTCTGACAGGGAGCTCAGCACTTAGCAAAGGAGGCTGCTGCTCTCTGGCACCTATGAGCACTGCAGGCATGCCTATCCCTTTGTGAGCCAAAATCTGCCTCGTTCGAACTTTCATTCCTTTGTGAATATTTCTTATAAAGACTTGTTTTTAATCTTATGCATGTGGGTATTAAGGCTGCGTGTGTTTGTGTACACCCTAACATGCCTGGTGCCCGAGGACTAGTCAGGTCCCCTGACTGCAGTTACAAGTGGCTGTGAGCTATGTGGGTGTCAGGTCCCGCAGGAGCACCAATGTTGAGCCGCCCCTGTGGCCCCTAACTTACATACTGTGGTCGTAAATGTCCTTTTCACTTAAGTCACATGAGCTGAAAATGACTGGGTGAGCACTTGCTCTTTCCCGATGCCTTCTGGAAGGTTCTGGGGGCTGCTGGAGCTCAGTCCCGTCCACCCAGAGTCACTTTACCTAAAGGGGAGCCGTTAAGATCAGAACCTTGGGCCAGACGCCTCTGCCAGGTGGGCAGTCTCCTCATCATCAGAAGGGGAGTTCTAGTTCTAATCTTGGGGTCCCCAGGTCTGGCCTTTGTACCGTGTGACAAGCCTGTTCTGGAGCAGGCCACTCCTCCAACACTCAAGGCCTGTTCTCTTGTGCCTATATCTGCTCTGCAAAGCAAGGCTGGGAAAGGTGACTCCCAAGCATCCCAGCACCTTGCCCTAAGAGGGGCAACCAAGACCCCGTGGGGACAGCGTGTGACCTTGACAGCACCTGGACCCTGGGGGGTGTGAGGGTCCCTGGCGCCGCCTTTCCCAGCACGTGGGCTGGCGCTCTCCAAGCCCCGCCTCTCAGAGCCCACACCCCTGTTCAGTTTCTGCACCTGAATCTTCTCTTGCTCCATCTTGCCTCATCTGCAACTGCTTGAAACAGAGAGTGGTGAGGCCAGCGACTATTCCCTACACATCTGGTGGGAGTGAAACCCTCTTTCTGGTCAGAGCACGCAGCCCACATGGCAAAGGCAGGGCCTGCCCCACCCACCCCCTGCCACCTTGCAGGCCTGTGCCATCAGGAGTAGAATGACTGCAGGGTTGGCTTGTGGAGGGTTGGGGAGTCTTGCCCAGGCTACTGGAGACACTCTGGCCGTCTGCCCACCCTGTTTCTCCCTCCACCCTGGGTCATGTCTCTGCCGATGGGACGCCCGTGAGGATCGGGAAGCCCCACTTCCCAGCCCCGCTGTTCCACTTTGCAAATTGCCCTCATGAAGGATATGAGAGCTCCCTGCCACTAGGCCTCTGCCAGCTTGCTACATCAAGAGTTCTTCGGCCTTTGGGGAGGTGAGGTGGGGGGCACTATTTGCTTGCTTGTATATTTGTTTGTTGAGACAAGGTCTCACATAGTCCAGGCTAGGATCAGCTCAACCTCCAAGCAAAGGGTGACTTGGAACCATGAATCCTAATCCCGCCACCTCCAAAGTGTTGTGATTACATGGTTACAGGTCTACGAGTTCTGAATTCATCTATTTCTGTGGAGATTGAGGCATTCCAGAATAGGAAACCGCCATGCCTGCCCTTTCCCTTTCTACCCCTTCCCATGTAAAGGATTAAAAATGACTTAATTAATATAAATGGAGATAAAGGAGCTGCTCAAAGTCAGGGGGAGAGCAAACATACATGCTCAATAGCTCAGGATGGAGGAAAGTCAGGGATGCACAACAGGGCTGGGCCCCTGGTCCATGGCACCAATACCTGAACTCAGAGCCCGTTAGAGACCAGAGCCTCCCACTGCCACGAGAGGCTGTGTCCGTGTGCCTTGTGAGTGCTGATGCCTGAGGCAGCCGGATGAGGGCTTTGGATACCCTGGAGCTGGAGTTATAGGTATTTGTGAGCCACCCCGTGTGGGTGCTGGGAACTGAACTGAACCTGGGTCCTCTGGCAGGGCACTGGCAGATCTTGGATACCATCTCTCCAGCCCCCGGGCAGTTTATGCCAATGCCTGACTGGGGTATTTCACTTGGAAACCAAGAGAAGGAAGGAGGACAGTGAGCTGAGTGTGAAGTCCAGCCCAGAGCTGGGTTTACAGTGAGGGGGTGCACCCATCCCGTGTAAACCTCGTCCTTGGCTTCAATCACACCCTCAGAGTCATCTCTCCTCTCCTGGCCCCAGGCCTGGGAAGGGCTCCACAGACGAGGCCACTAGCAGCAGCTGTAAGTGGCCTGCACAGAGTCCTGAGCCGCTGACAACTGTGTCCTCTCTTCCTAGGGTCTACGAAGAATAGAGTGACCAATCTCGGGAAGAAAAACTCCAGGCCAGTTGAGAGACTTCAGCAGATTAAAATAAAAGCCCTTTCTTTCTCACAAGCATAAAACAAATTATATATTGCTGCGAAGCTCTTTTTACCAGGGTCACTTTTTACATTTTATAGCTCTGTGTGAAAGGCTTCCAGATGTGAGACCCAGCTCTCCTGCACTCCAGACTTCATTTCCAGTGGCTTTTTGCCGAAAAGGGGGAGGGCGGGGGGGACAACTCAAGCCTTTCCTTTCTAAAATAAGGGGTTCTGTATTTGTCCATATGTCACTACGCATCTGAGCTTTATAAGCGCCTGGAAGGAACACTGCGCTTGGTAGAGGTGTTTCATTGCTCTATTACTCTGGTCCAGGCTCTGGAAGCTTCCGCTCAGAGGGCCTGGCGCCTCGGCACAGCTGCCATGGGCTCTCCTGGGCTTATGACTGGTCAGGGTCTCCGTGGCCCCGTTGTAGAGCAATTGGGAGCAGGTCCTTGGACATCTGTGCCTTGAGGAACTCAGTCTGGTTACCATGATAAGCTCCATCCCCACCCCCACCCCAGTTCATGATCCAGCAAGCAATCCCTAAAGGAGCTGGGTCTTTCTTCCAACCTGAAGGTTTCTGCTGCTTTGGCAGACCATGTTTCTGAAGCATGGCAAGTTCCTAGCACTGTGAGGAGACAGCCCAAGGAGGAGACGGAAAGATTCAGGACTATATGCTCGACACAAGCCAGAGCCGAACATCCCTTTGGCCCCAGGGAAACTTTCAAAGCTTTGTTTCTTTCCCTCACCCCAACAGAAAGCACACACCCCACCCCTCCAGTGCAGATGCAAACAGCACAGTCCTCTTTGGGAGTTAGGAATTAGGATGATACTGAACCCTTTCCTGTGTACATACCACCTTCTGTGTGCCCTGCTGCACACCGCCCTTCAGTAGAGGCCGCCCTGTGCGGCTGTTTCTCTGCTATGTAAATGCGAGAGCCATGAGCTGCATGCCGGGTTCATGTTCTTTCTAAGATGAAAAAGAAAGTAATAAAATATATTTGAAGTTACCAAAATTCTAGACTCCTGGCTTTTTTTTCCCTTTCCTCTCTAATTAAACCAGATAACAATAAAAATGTTTGCCTCCTCCTAAATAAACGGGCACATATGTGTGGGAGAGAAAATTGGTGTCATGCAAATACCTGTCAAGAGCCTCTGTGGAATGTGTTCTGGAAGCCAGGAGGCTAGGCCTGCAGGCTGGTGTCCCCCACACTCTGACGCAGCAGGTTGGTGGGAGCAGACGGAAGGAGGCTGGCAGGACCAGGGAGGTACAAGCATCAAGCCACGGCCTGGGGCCGCAGCTCTGACATCTCTGTGGAGGGACACAGGAGATCCACGGAGAGGCTGAGTGGGGTCTGGCTCTGCTGCTGGGACACGCCTGTGACTGCAGAGCACACCTGGTGGTGTCTCTCGGGACTGGGTGATGAGGGACTGAGAAGAGTTGGTGACCTGTGTCTTATTGGGCTTAGTGCAAGTCAGTCAGCCCCATCTTCTCTAGTCTCGCTGCTGCTAATGGGGACAAGTCCCCAGACTAGGAACCTGGACCACATCCCTGCACTACTTCTGTAGATGGCTTCCTGATACTGGCTCTGTTCACGTTTACAAGGACACACAGCACGTCCCCTCTGCTGGTGTGAACCACGGGGTGATGTTGTGACCCTTTCTATCACAGCCACGCCTCCTCTCTGTAGCTCCAAGCTACCTCTCGTGAGTTAAGGGGCAAACTATACTACAGCAACTAAGAAAGTGGCCTGAGAGTGCCCAGGGCCTTATAATCACAGTCTCCAGTGGCTGGACGGCCACCTTTCTGCTCAGGCTGAGAACCATGATTCCTCCACCCCACCTTTCGCTTTCCCTCATTAGAGAGGAAAATGACCTAGTAAGCCTAGCTCAAAGCCAGAGGCCGATAGACATTACAGAGTAAGAGAAGCCCCTTGGAAAGCCATATGTCAGAACAGAACAGCAGAGGACAGGTCCCAGAGGCCCCCAGAGCCTGGTGTAGCTCAAACAGGGCCTCACAAGTAAGGACCCTGTGGAAAGCAGTGTCTAGAAAGAGCCCTGCTTCATTGCAGACCTCCTTCACTCAGCTGACAGCATGGGGTGCTGGACACTCACGGTGTTCCGTGTCCTGCACTGCCCTTCTGCACACGGCACACCTTCTCACACTTGTACCAGCACAGGGTCTGTCCTGGTCGACAGATTCCTGTTAGAGCTCACTACATGGTTTGCTTCCTGTTCAAACGAACCTTTATGTAAGAATAATTAGCTTGCTGTGTGTCTTAAATAGGACACTGTGAGTGTCTTCAGAGCAAGGAAACACTTCATGTTGAGATAATGGATATGATAATTACCCTGGTCTGATTATTATGCATGGTACCCGTGTATGGAAATTATCACACACACGGTACTACATGAATATGTACAATTCATTTCTGTCAATTTAAAAAATGTTTGAGTGACAAAAAAAAAAATGGCAAGTTTCAAAATGGCAAGAACTGAACATTAAACCCAGTGTGGATCCTTCCTAGACAGGCCCAGGGCAACTCACCTGTTTCAAGCCCAAGAGGCAGCCTACCTCAGGGTCAACTTCAATATCTATCTGGATGATTCATTGGCCTCGAATGACTACAGGATTTACTCAGTGATGTGGCCGTTATGAATGTCTAATGAGATGTGTTCTCAGAGGCCAGGAATTATCTCACAGTCATCTTTGTTTAAAACCTCTCCAGATCTGTGAAGGTGTGGGGCACAATGTTTGTTCCTTACCCATGAGCACTCTCTGCCATCACGGAGGCATGAAGCTGAGGACCATGTTGAGCCTACACAGGCTATGTCGTTCCTATGCAGGCAAACCTGAAGTTTAACTTATAAACCGGGTACAGTAAAAGGCCAAAGACTCCTCACTACACGTTAACAATCTCATGTAGCATCATTTCTTTACTTGTGAAATCCAAAGCTAAGCTGGGAGTGGGGCTCGGGAGTAGAGCTCTTATTGGCACATGTGAGGCCCTGGGTTTGAGTATCAGCACCATGAAGCAACCTAAACCTCACCTGTCAGAGTTAGCTTCAGCTGTCAACACAAACCTGGAGCCTCCTGGGAAGAGGGAAGGACAACCAACAACCAAGAAAGCCTTTACCAGACCGCCCTGTGGCCATGTCAGGGAGGCATTTCCTTAAGTGCTAGCCACTGCCAGAGGTGCAGGCAGTTCGAAGTCACACAAGGGAGGTAAAGGAGCAAGCTCTGGGTGGGAGCCATGGCGATGACGGTGATCTGTAAGCCAGAGTGAGTGCTTTGATCCCCGGGTTGCTTTGGCATTTACCAAAGCATTAGAGACATCACCTCTTCACTCAAATGAAGCACCTTCAGCTTCTCATGGGTATGGACCAGTCATCACTGCTGTACACTGCGGGCTCTTTACTAAGTAGAATAAGACTCAACTCTAGCCACACAACACTACAGCGGCTGATCTGATAACCAAAATGATGACGGGAGAGCAGGGCACACAGCCTGGAAACCCGGGACAAAAGGGCACATTCGCGTCCCTGAAGGACAGAACAGAAAGCTACAAGACTTTATTGTGTCATTGCAATGGCCTGCAATCTAAGATATTGTTTCATGTCTGGAATCCCCCTCCTAATATTCTTGGGCCACGACTGACTACAGTTAACAAACATCGGGCATTTGAAAGCTCTGAGGGTGACACAGGCTGGCTAGCTGGTGTTCTGGATTCAGGCGTCTTCCCAGGAGCACAGAGGCCCTGCTGAGTGCAGAGCTGAGTGCTGAGGTGCCGAGTGGGGGATTAACTGCTGTGCCCCAGCTTGGGCCGCAGGACACAGGGAACTCCCACAGCAAGAGTAGCTTGAAAGCTAAAGTGAGAGGGTGGAGGTGTTGATGGCCACACAGCCAGGGCAACCCCCTTGTGACCAAAGGTGATATAGATTCAAGCTGGATTTGACAAAGGGAAAAGGTGTTAGCTGTGGAGGGAGCTTTCACAGGGTAGGTCCCCTGCTCTTGAGATGGACTTACTGGTGGACCTGAGAAGGCAGATTCTGCTTTCCCCGGGGCCTCTCCATCACCACAGCCAGACTCCATGGGAACTTTGGGAGATCCAGGCCCCTGCCACTTTTGGTGAGAGAGACAGTACAAAACTCCCACCCTCAACAAGGAATCTCCCCAATGCTCTCTGAGTTCAGGCTGTCCTACCTTTACTGGGTACTCCAAAGTGCTTCAGTCATGCGATAGAGAAGTACTTCATAGAGGAACAGCATTGGCCAGGTTGGTCCTCTTTCCTTAGACGCAGAATTTATTTATTCATGCTCAGGGCCCCTGATTCCTTATCGATGCCCTACACTCTGAGATGGATGCAGGAGTTGCTTTGCTGTCTATGAGGCAAAGACACTGCCTAGATTGCATGTTGCTCTACATACTATGCAACAGGGGGACATGGCAGGCTCTAGGAGCACCTCCAAACAGTGCCTGTCCTAGGTTCAAAGGAGACCCCTGACCCAGATCTTGAAATTGCCCATGGAAAACAACAAGTTGTTACCAAGCATGAAGCACTGCTCCCAACCCTGCTCTGATGAGGTGTGGCCATGAGGTGTGATAAGACAGGCTTAAGGGGGTGCAGCCCACCAGGACAGGAAGGCATCGCAACAGTACAAACAGAGGCGGGTAGAACCCCAAAAGGGGTTTATTTTGGGGAATTCAAAGCTGCCATAGCTACCTCTCAGGGCAGCAAGAATAGCAAGGCAAGAGTAGGGATTATGGGAGGAGAATGAGTTCGCTGGAATAGCCTGGGAACTAACATGGGGTCTGATCTGTTGGATGCGCGGTTGGGTTAACAGGAAATTAGATGCCCTCCAAGGGATTGTAGGACGGATAAGAAAGTCATGAATTTTCCCAACAGAGAGAAACCCACTTTGCAAGGTTTCTGAGGAATGCTGATTGTAAGTAGCAACTCTTCTGTTTACCAATCAGAGTCCAGCCTGAGCAGAGTCAGACTGTTATGTATGATGCTGCCAATCATGACACTGTCAATGGCACCGCCATTTTGGGGGGTTGGGACCTACCCAGCAGGATCATGGGGCAGCGGTAACATCTCATCCTCTGGCCGGGATATAATATTAGCATCGTGAACCTGGCAGGAAAGCACACAGGGCCTGGGGTCACAGGTGATCTACAGGCTCATCAGTCTCTTCCATCACCTCCTCTGAGGGAGTCTGCATAGCCTGAGAGCACCCGGTGGTTTCTCGAAGCCCTCCAGGGTACCCAGTAGTCTTCATGGTTCCCCCTGCTCCACACTGACCTGCCTCTTCCACTAGAAGACTGGATCAGATGCTGGGACACTGGTGCCACTTGAGCAGGCAGGCAGGACTTGGGAGAACCGCCTGGTGAATAAAGGCCTGAATCAAAAGCATCACCCCTCCCCCACCACGTGTCTGTAAACAGGAGATGCCCAGACAATCAGGTATTAGGTTCTGCTTCCCGGGGGAACAAAAGTCAGCCACACAGCTGCACCTCCAGGAGAGCAGAGGGGGAGGAGGTCTGCTTTGCCTGTGTGGTTGGCATGAGCTTAAGTGAGGCATTAGCTACCTCCGTACCTGTAATGGGATCCATGCCTTTGACATCCAATTCCAACTCAGGGCCACTGGGCAGTGCAAAGCACGGGGCAGCTTTGGGAATCCTCGGAGCCCCTGGACTGCACCATGCTCGCACATCCAGCCCGAGGGATGATGGGCAAATCTGCAGTGCTCTTCTGACTTTCTCCTTCTCTTGACCCTGGAAAGGGCTAAGGTGGGAAAGAGAACAGACCCCAAATGTACACTGTGGAGCCTTGCTGGTTCTGTGGACTGGAGGAGCCAGGGGAGGCGGGGTGACACCTGAGCCCCTCAGGCTCTCTATTTCCCTTTAGCCCTTAGCTGACACCCTATTCCAGAACTTTGGACTCTGTCCAGACACTACAGCCATAGGCCAGTGATAGTGTAACTATGCAGTAACCAGAGCTAAACCATCCAT